ACCTAGTACACGTGTATGTCATGTTGGATATGAGAATGAGGCCACACAGTGCAACTTTAATTTGCGCAAATCCAACTGGCACAGGATTCAGCAAATCATGGAAGAATTTGGACGCAAGCCCATTAACGTTCTCTTGACTCGCGGAAGGAGAGTAAAGAAGATCCGGAAGATTCGAGTGCGTGCTGGACATCGGAAACAGCACCAAAGCCAGACTCAGACTTCACAATAGAGCATCCACTTCCTTTGCACAGCATATGGATAAACATCTTTGCATTGTAAAACAGAGGCTCTACTGATCATAAAAACATGCTTATAGCAATCAGTACATCTAACAGTGAGACCAAGATTATAATTACAGTCCAATTTTTCGGTTTCATTAGAGTTTGTGTAGTACCTAGAACCTAGATTCCAAGTATGAGTGAAAACAGATTTCATCTGAGGAAGATACTACTCAATTAGTGTGAATTTAGTCTGACCTACAAACATTAGCAGTTCAGAAGCAACTGCTCATGATGCTGATGCCATCTTTTCTGGTTTACTTGGAGACAGGTGTTTAAAAAGTATGTCCAAAGCCATAGTTAAACACTACTCCAAAAAGGAAAAGTGTTACTTGGATTGACAAACCCCATTTTCTGTGCAATCCAAATGGCTGTCAACACTCTTATCAAAGCACATCCATGGAAATAACTGCTCAGGTATGAGTACATCAGAACGACCATTTCCATTGGCTTCCCTTCCTCATAAATAAGTATTTCAGGTTTGGGTCACCAGAAAGATTATTCAGTGAGAACATGCAAAGATCGTTTCTGTAAACAAAACGCTGACCTGGTACAGAATTTGAAATCAATTTGCTTGATTCAAGAACAATTCTGTTAAAGACACAAATCTTAAAAACCCATACCCAATCCTTACAAGCTGCACGACTTAACTGAAACCAATCAGGGCTCCACCAAGTTTTGAAGCACATGCTTCACATGGGAAGCCAAAACTTAAAACTCATGGATCTAAGGCACAATGAGTGTGATTGCTTGAGATTCAAGCTAGAGTCAGATGGTACAATTGAAGAGAGTTCAATTATCAACACATTACTAGTCGATAAAGCCAAGTCGTCAATTCAAGTCAGAATTAAGTAACAAAGTTTGCCTTCATTTACGTACCTGTGGCAAGTATACTCATTTCAAGAGCGACCTGCAGGCCAGTGCTGAGCAGACTTGCCCCGAGCTGTTCTCAGCACATTGGGATGCCGTAAACAAAATGCTTGTCATGTGGACATCAAATTACAACAGTTCCTTCTAAAATATGGATCAGATGAACAAAACAGAACACTGGCTGTCTCACAGCAGCAAAAGTACATGGAGGCATTTCAGTTTTCTCTGGTAAAAAGTTTACAAGGTGCCTATTCTAACCACCCCATTACCCTCACTCAGATGTCAAACTCTACATCTATAATCCATCCATGATGTTTGCAAAGATAATTGATCAATCTTTCTTTCAATAAACAGAACAAATGTCGATCTAATAAAGTTTTAGACTCTACCACTCCAAGAAACACACAAAGTGCCTTGAAGATATGACAGCAGCTATGATGGTGGATAGGTTAAGCAAAACTCCAGAGTAGACTTCTTGGAATCTGCCCTGTTTGGTGACTTGCAAATTTCAACAATGCATCCCTGTTGACAGACTGTTATGTCTGGTCATTAAAAAGCAAATGTTTAGACTTGTGTTAAGCGATTTTATCCTGAACCACTCAACAATTTCTACACAAGTGTAAAAGTCAACGACTGTTTAAGAATGGTTTTCAACCTCACTTGATTTTTGATGGAAAGCAAATTTTCTTTGGGAGACAGCTCTTTTTAATAGTGCAACTAGACTTGTTTTGTTGTGCTAATGTTATAGAGAACATTTATTTTAAAAGGATAGAAATGCAATATTCTAAAAGGTTATTCTGGCCTGTCGCTAAAGAGTTCCTTTATGTCTTAAAATATCTCAACTATTTTTGCAGAATAAACAACAGCAAACAATTAAGAACTCAGTTTAAGTGTAGTTTAACAGTGATAACTGTGGTTTTCAAACATTTCTCACACAGAACAGTGTTTGAATAAGGTACAGGACAGAAGAAAGCACAACCTTGTCACTTCTCATCTAAGATCTGCTGGCTATCACTCATTGGCTCGATGACCAAAGCGATCAGGTTGATTTAGAGAAAAAAATCTAAAATGTCACTACATGCATATTGTCATGGGTTCAGAGAGCATTATTTAATCATACAGACCCCCAAAAGACCTTATGTTCTCTCACAAATCACATACTCAAGAAACATAAAAGTAAACTTCTCAATCTATTAAAACTATTTATCTGACAGTCCCGTGAAGGGGGACACTTGCTCTCACTCTGAAACCATAACTTTAGATTGCCGAGGTCAGATTAAGTTTACAGACTGCAGAATTCATGGCAAGGCTGTTGAGCAGGCCATGCTGATATATACTTCTGGCTGCTCTATCAGGAAATCCAATCTCTTCACAGCTGAACTGAGAACTTTCAGTCAGTCAAGGTATTTTTGTTTGACAGACTGTTAAGCCAGTTGCTGCTTAAGTCTTCCCAGTGTTCTTCTGCAGATTGCACCACGTTTCTTCATAGTTTTGAAATAAAATGGGTCAGTGTCAGAAAACTAGGTGTAATCATATGATTAGCAGCCATCATTATGAAATGTCAAGTGGATGATCGCCTTTCACAATTAGCTTGTGGATAATTGACCATGAGTGTTTCATTAATTTAAATTGCAAACTGGAGACATGCTAGGATTTCCTTAGCTGTGTAATTTGGCTCTGGTTGGATAACGGCATATATTCCAAATATTTGTGGAAGAACTCTTCCCATAATATTGAAAATCTTAACTTTCAGTAAGAGTGATAGTTAGTGTCAAGTTGACAAGGTCTCCCCCACCACCCTGACACAAGTCCAAAGCTCTTAAAACTTATGCAGCTAATATTTCCTTGTCCCATCAGGGCAAGTCTTCCAATGTCTTAGAAAAGTCAGTTCACTTCAAGCAGCAAAGCCAATTCTAAACTCTATGCAAGTGACATGGCTTGACACAGAAGATCAGAATCTTCAGTCTCCAAATATGGATTTGGACAGGAGACCATTGAACTCTGAGCCAGTGTCATCATTCGGTACGACCATGTATTTTCAATTCCATATTCACATCCACACCCTAACCTGACTGGCTTGCTGAACAAGAATCTAATTCGATATTAAACAACATTCAATGACCCTGCTTCCACCACCTTTTAAGACAGAGTTCCCAAGTCACCCAAACCTCACAAAAAAGCTTTCTCCTCAGTGGTTGACAAGGGCAACCCCTGACTTTTAAAATACCCATTAGCTCCTTTCTCCTTGTTAAGGCTACTCAGGATCTTAAATACTTAAATCAAGGCACCCTTGCCTCTTCTAACTTCCAGTAGAAACAAGCTCAGTCTGTGCAGTTTGTCCTTCTAAGACAAATCACTAATTTCGGATATCAATTTCTGAACCACCTCCAATGCATTGATATCCTTCCTGAAATGAGACCAAACTGCACCTGGCATTCAAGATGTGGTCTGACCAATGTCCTGTATGAATGCAAGATAACATCGATTCTCAGATGTTCAATTCTACTTGTAACAAAGGCTGACGTGACATTAAATCTTTTCAATTACATGCTGCATTTTGGGATTCATGCTCCAAACACCTCGGTGGCAGAGGCAGCAGAGTAACTAATATTCAGGAACCCGGTTGTTTACTCAATCATCTGCACGCCCCTCTCACATGACCAACAGGATCTTTCTTGCTTTTTATTCATGAATTTGGTTTTTCTTCATTTAATTTCTGAATCAAATTCATCTTTCTGCGGCTGCAGTGCTGGAGAGAGGTTGTCGACAGCTGTTCAATGGCAGATCGGGTCCTTTCCTCGTGGCCATGGTAGTCAAGTCTTGAGCAACTGTTACAGTGGTGAATTGGAATCCATGTTCTTCCCCTGATGTTTTGGAAGTATCTGCAATTGCGGCAGCATGAATGATCTTGCGGTCCTCGCAAGTTAATTTGGACTGTCGAATGGTCCTCAGAAGTTGAGATGGACACCAGTCCTCGAGAATTGGGACAGGCTCCTGGCTATGGCAGTGGCTTGAGTATCAGCAGCAATGAGGAGGCTTCGGCAGAGGTGACGTTCTGGGTCCAGTCAGTGGGGACTGTTACAGTGTGCTTCCTTTTTGGTGTTCCAGCTTCAGGGACTGTTTTGGCAGCTGCGACGGCATCCTGTATCCACTTGTGAAATGAAGAAGTCATGAATGGAACAAAAATGCAATTTGTCCTCACCGTGTATGATTTATTTCTTTTTCCAATTTATACAAGTAAAATGCCACCAACTTATGGCACCTTACACACATTTTACTGTATTTTCATTAATACATGCAACAATATATTACTATCTATCTGCAGCCTTCAAATTTTGCTCTTGCAATATGACTTTTGTTAATTCTTCCCGCCCAAATGTACCACGCTTTTTTTCATTTCTGCAAAGTCAAGAGACAAGTTTGTTTACGAAACAAAATCTAAAGAAAATACAAATTAGATATTTTACTTCCTGTGTGATAGCTGCCACGCCTGAACACAGCAACAGTTTACAAGTGCCCCACGATAATCCAAGGAATTTGAGGTGCTCAGCCAACTTCCAAGAAACTTCAACTCAAACAAGTTCACAAGTTCAGCAGGTCGCAAACAGCATGTTACTGAAATAAAGCAAACCTAAAGCCAGTTCTAAGTTTTTTTTTCTCAGGAGATCAGAGAGGTGGAGTTCATGAAACAGTAGACTGTGCAGGATGACAGAAAAGCAATTTGAATTTGTATTACAATTTGAATTTCCCCATTAAGATAGTAGGTCCTATGGAAATTCATTTTATTTTGTGCATCCAGTTGTACATGCAATGGACCAAGTGTACATGATTTCAAGTGTACACGACTCCAAATGATTGCAACATTTTTAATAATAGAAATTGTTTTAAAAAATACACAACAGAGTCCACAGCACACACAAAAGACAAGGCATCTTATTCAAGCTCATCCTGTCAGTAGTGTTTTAACCTTACATGGTGCTGGTGAACAAGGGTGTTATTCTAATAAGTCCCATCAAAATAGTTCAATATTAAGAGACTCAGAAACCCCAAAGACTAATTAAAACTATGCACGGAGTGCCAGCTACCAATTTGAAATGCTGCATGCATCATATCCCTCAAGGATTAAGTCAAGACTTTCAGCATGTTGTTGTTAATTAGACATGCTGTGAAACATCTCACCCCTGATTAGCACAACACTGTTTTTATTTGAAAAACATGCATTTGAGACAAGGTTAAGGGTCTGAATTCACTTTCAAAGCTAAGCCTGAAAACATGACCATCATTTGAACTGTTTTACTGTAGCCTTAGCACAATGAAAAACATGGAAGAAACTTATCACGCAGCATTGCTCTCCCACATTACTCCCTCTAAACACCAGCTCGAGGAATGTTACAAACAATGTACAACACTCCGCAGTCAGCTTCCTCTCCAGTGCAGCGTGGGCAATCTGCATCTTGCTTGCTACAGTCTCAGAGGGGAAAAAAGTCACATGAAATCCTTTTAAACAAAAATGTCTTTGCCCTCAGTGACTGATATCCATCTCGACATCATCATCATCATCATCATCCCCAGCACAGAAAGCAGAGAAGCTGATTGGTTGACACTCAAGAGTTCGCAGGTTCACCAGACAAGCTTTTTGTGTCGTTGAAAATTCTGGGACAGCAACCAAGAGCACCCGTTGTCCTTCCACACCTGGGAACAGAGAGTATTTTCCTTAATTACTCGACAATTGTGACAAAAGAACCTGTGAAAGCTAAAGCAAAGCTCAGAAAGGTCAACTGTTTCTTCTGTTGTTTTTTGTCAGTTCTAACCCCAGCAAACAGGTCCAAGCTAGAGGAATAAAAGTTGCATGCAAGCAATTGGTATTTTTTCCAGTCATGAACAATGAGATTACCTCCCTGTAGCACTCCAAGAACGGAAATTTTGAAGCAACATAACACTGGGCACACGTTGATTTTATCAACCCATTTTTAAAATTCCTTCAAGGGATGCAGGAATTACTAGCTAGGTCCACACTGACTGAAAACCTCTTATCATATTCCAGTGAAGAGGCCACCACAGTCACATGGAGGACAGAATAACTAAACATGGCAGACTTCCTTCCCTAAAGGACACAAGCAAACAAACCCTCTTTTTCCAGATTTTTGATGAATTCAAATTTCGTCATGTGGGAATCAAAGCCATGTCCTCAGCACATTAGAATGGGGTTCTGGATCACTCATCCCATGAAAGAATCACTACACTACTGTCTCCTTGCCTACAGCCTTCTCCAGAGGTTTCTGTTTTCTTCAGTAAATGCCTCCATTTGTTGCTTGTCTGCCTCAAGACCTTGAGTAGCCCTGGCTACTAAATGATTCCATTCATACACTGGAGCTGCTCTTCCAAAGAAATCACAATTCGTTGTGTACTGAACAATATAGTAAATAGCAAAGTACTGTTGATGTTAGAAAAAAAACAGTATTAAAAATATAAAAAATACAGAAAGAAAGGAGAAGAAAAAAATTACACACAAGAGTAAATGCCTGAAAAAAAATGATCTGTGAAGTCTTTGAGAGAGAATGGCAATGTGGTCAAGATGAAATCAATTGGATATTAAAGAATGGAGAAAATCAGAGATGTGAAAGCCATGCAGAACACAGAGTTCACGGAAGGAGAAAAGAAAGCTTAGAGAACTGGCAACACAAGAGGCTTCAGTGATCTGATGGTTAATAAAAACATACCCAGATTTCTGGAATCAACCTTCCTTCACTCATGTTTGAAAAGCAGAATTCCCTCCTAATTCCTAACATGTTTATCCCTCTTCTTACATATACAGTTATGCCTGAAACTCTCAATTACAAGAGCTCCTTTTCAAAACCAATGCTAAAAGCAGGTGAGCAACATGTAATTAGGAAATACTTCTTCATCGTTCAACAGATCGTACCCATAATCTTCAAAGATATCTACTCCCTACAACAACATAGTACAAAATCACAATGAAACAGCAACACTCATTGCCAACTGAAAAATCAAGCTCCATTTCAAAATCTCCAAACTTGCTCATCAGTTCTTAAATCTCACTTTTCAGCTTGACTTCCATGTAAGGGGTGACTGGGTTTACTCAACTGTGTTCTTGATGAAATCTTCTTCAAATGATTCAGATATTTCAAGCTTTCTGGATCTGTATTTTAAGAGTAGGAGAATCCATGAGAACATGTGCATCGGTGAAACCACGATGCAATGTCTGATGAATTATACAGCACCTAAATGGTTCATTTCATAAATCAAATGCATCACAAATATGTTGTTCATGGCTTTGAAAAATGTGGCAAATGCAAGAAGAAATTCATGTCATCGATTTGTGCCAGCCACCATCTGAATATGTCTCAAGATGTTCAATCGACCTGTTTAGATACACACACAATTTTGCTCATCACAACACAAGTTCTCAGTGTACAAATTTCTCACTTAAAAGTCTGACATTCAGAAACACAATCCTTGAATCAAAATCCAAAGTTGTTAAAGGTATCATATCCTTGGCACTAAAGCTTCTCTAATGGGACAGGTGAATTTGTTTTCCAGCATCTTGGTGTCAAGATATTGTGCCCTGAAAAAACTCCATCAAATACACATTCTCAAGCATTCAAAGTTTCAACACACAGTTCAAGTGTTAAAAACTATCTGTATTTCAATAGTCCTACCAATTTCACGCGTACATTTTTAACTGCAACACACTTTGAACATCCTGCCTAAACAGAAATCATGCTTCTGAAATTAGTCAATATAAAGTTTTGTCTGGACACATCTTTTCCAATACATTAGGTCCTTACCTTGTACGATTTTTGATTTGAATGATGGTGCATTGCCACAGAAGTAAACATGTGGACACTCCTCAAAAATGAATGGATCATTCGTGTAGAATGGGTAACATCCTAGACATAAATAAAATGTAAACATGTTCATTTCTCCAAGACTACCACTTCAGCAGAACACTAAATGGCAAATAATGTAAACACATACTTTGGAAATTATATTTCAGAAAAGTGCAGGTTTATTCAACATCAGTCCCAAGAAAATTGCAGATATTGTCTCATTTTAAAAATTGCGTTTGAACATAACTCTGAAGGAGGAATACTCACAAAAAATTAGCATGTACTGCTTACATACAGGAGAAGTGCTCCTCCGAAGTACAGCATCACGAGGTGAATTTTGTTCTCCAAGTACTTACCAAGAGTGTCAGGTGAAGTGGGACTCATGTGGCCAATCTGTAAAGTCCACTGTAAGATCTCAAGGTGATCCTCCATACTACTATAACAGAAAATGTCCTTCACATTCTGTCCAGCTGTTCCCAAGAACCTAAAGAGAAACATTCGAAACATAGCCCTTCACTTTTGGAATATCTAAAACACATCAGCAGACTTGTTTTTTGTTGCTGCATCTCGAATTCAGTTAATTACTATTTTTTTAAAAAATCATTCATGAGATGTGCGCATCACAGACTGGGACAGCACTTACAGCCATCCCAAGTTACCCTTGAGCTGATGGTGAACTGCAACTTCACATCAAGCAAACAGTTACAACCACATTTATCAAAACCCCCTAAGCGTTTAATTTCCAACACCTCTATTATTGCATTTCCAATCTTCTTGTATCCGTACCTAACTCCATCAATGTCTGCTTGATAAGGGTTGGTGACAAGCTGCATTGTGGGATAAGTCATAGCCTGTGGAAACATACAGCGGTGGAGTGGCTGCTGTGGCAAAGTGTAATTTGTTGGATCAAATTCGCCAGGCATACAATCTACGGGAACAGAGGCCTGTAGTAAACAAAGAAGAAAATAGTGCATATTTGAATGAATCTGCATGCATCTGGACAACAATAATCTGTTCAGCTCAACATGCAGCTTAAACAGAGATAGGAGGAACTGCAGATGCTGGAGAATCTGAGATAACAAGGCGTAGAGCTGGATAAACGCAGCAGGCCAAGCAGCATCAGAGGAGCAGGAAGGCTGACGTTTTGGGCCCAGACCCTTCTTCAGAAATGGGGGAGGGGAAGGGGGTTCTGAAATAAATAGGGAGACGGGGGAGGCGGATAGAAGATGGATAGAGGAGAAGATAGGTGGAGAGGAGACAGACAGGTCAAAGAGGCGGGGATGGAGCCAGCAAAGGTGAGTGTAGGTGGGGAGGTAGGGAGGAGATAGGTTAGTCCAGGGAGGACGGACAGGTCAAGGGGGCGGGATGAATTTAGTAGGTAGGAGCTGGGAATGGGGCTTGAGGTGGGAGGAGGGGATGGGTGTGAGGAAGGACAGGTTAGGGAGGCGGGGACGAGCTGGGCTGGTTTTGGGATGCACTAGGGGGCAGGGAGATTTTGAAGCTTGTGAAGTCCACATTGATACCATTAGGCTGCAGGATTCCCAAGCGGAATAAGAGTTGCTGTTCCTGCAACCTTCGGTTTGCATCGTTGTGGCACTGCAGGAGGCCCAGGACGGACATGTTGTCTGAGGAATGGGAGGAGTTGAAATGGTTCGCAACTGGGAGGTGCAGTTGTTTAGTGCAAACCGAGCATAGGTGTTCTGCAAAGCAGTCCCCAAGCCTCCGCTTGGTTTCCCCGATGTACAGGCCGCCACAACGGGAACAGCGGAGACAGTATACCACATTAGCAGATGTGCAGGTGAACATCTGCTTGATGTGGAAAGTCTTCTTGGGGCCTGGGATGGGGGTGAGG